CTAAAAATAACTTATCGATGTAATCGAACTGAATTGTTAAACGCTTGTTAGTTTTTTTGTTCTTATTAATTTTATCTATAAATTTGAGGTGATAGACAATAGTTATTTATACATTTATACATGCAGATTAGAAAAAATAATATTATTCTAATTTTAAATAACTTTTTTATTTACTATAATAGTTTTTTTAATATAATATATAAGTATGATATTGAATAGATAAAACAAGAAATATTTTAATTATATAATATTTAATATGTAAGAAATGTAGCTCAATTGGTAAATTAATAGGTAATCTTGAGATAAAATAATGAGTGATTTATGAAAAAAAAAAATTATAGGAACTAAAAAGTTCACGTGTTTAATATATTATTAATAGAAAAATTGTAAACACAATTACTCAATATATACTACATAAAAAATAATGTTTGAGAGGACTACAAAAATTTTGTTATACTGCAATGAAAAATTCAACGGTAAGGTATTCGACTGAAAATTTCAACGAATATGTTACTTTCATTGGTTATTCCAATAGAGTTCAAATTAAACTACATGAACTTTAGTGGATGTAAATATTTCAATTACCTGAATTTTTATTGGAATTTATTTTTTGGACCATATTTCAATCATTTTGAAAAAATTTTCATTGGCATTATGCAAAAGTTCAATAGAAGTTCCATTGGAAAGATAATTGCAGTGATAGATTCAAAATAATTTTATATTAGGAGCACTATTTATAAATTATATTTTACATAATCTATCACCTTTCTCATTTGTAATACATTTTAATAAATCTATGCAATCACAATAAGGTAAAATATATTTAAGAAACCAAAAGTCAAGATTTTTCTAAAATCAATATAAGAAAATCGTTATATTTGTTGTAGTTTTTGTTGGAATTTTCTCATTTTCTTGTAGTAAAACTAAGACTCCAAATCTATACAAAAAGATGCATTATATATAATATTGTGTGCAACTATTATTATGAAAATTTTTGATACGATAGAAAATATAACACATTCAATGTAATTGGCGTTCAATTTATGATAAGAATTAATTTTTTTCAAAGCAAACAAGATACTTTGAAATGTCCTTAAGTATTTTATTAGTATTGTAATAACTAAATAAGGGGTAAGAAAGATGACAAAACTTATAACTCTCATTAAATCCAAAAGTAAAAATGCTGATAAAATTACTTAATGTACAATATCAATTGGAGCTGACTAATGATAAATATAAAATATATTTAAAATACACATATATTTTAACTAGAACTTTTAAGTACATAATATATATATATATATACACACACATATATATATATCTATATATTCATATGTATATTTCTTTAAAAGTGGGTATGTTAATCTTAAACTTTTTTAGTTAAGATTTTTATTATTTTCTATCATTAATTTTTTTAATTTTCAAATACTTCATATTTTTTTATTTGTTACCTTTTTATATGTAATATATCACATCATTTATTTTCAATGATGTTTGAGTTCACCAATATATTGCAATAAAATAAAAATAATATAATTATTTATATTGATATAAAATAATATATAATATATATATCAGTACTAATTTAAAATAATAAATTAGTCTTAAAGTATATAATATAATAAATTTTATATTCAAGTTAAATCAATTTTATTAAGTATAAAATAACATAAGATAAACTTGTGGTATGTTTTCCATACATAAATTTGAAACAATTCATATTAAAAAAAAATAAAAAAATGGGTGTAAACTTATAACTGGTCCCACGTTTTGGCTAGAGCGCCCAAATCCGATATATGTTTGACACGAGTTTGTCGTAATGCTGAAACTATGGCAAATGCACCTTAGGATACAAACGAAGCGAAACAATGTGAAGTAATAGATAAAAGGAAAGGCTAGGCCAGAGAAAGAAAATGAAATAACATTAGCTATGTGAAGTCAATTACTGCTGCAAAATGAACCATATAAAGGTGGTACCATATATGTATTCAATGATTATGAAAATGACTTAGTAATTAATATTTTATCAAACATTGGAAAAAATTCTAAAACTTTTAATCTAATAATTCGTATAAAAAGTACAATTTTATCAAATATATTAAATTATATTTAATCTTATGTGATTATATTAATTGTAGCCTAATAAATAAGATAATTTGATACCATCATTATATAGAACACATACAAAAAATAACATAATACGTATAAATGTACTTTAGTAACTTAGCAAATAAAATATTATTTGTCCATAGAATAAGAAACAAATAATATAATAGTAATGCAATGAGAAAAAAAAAACATGCTAATTTTCTTAGAAAAGTATGAATACCAATATTTACAAACAAAAAGTCTTTTAAAATTACTACTTTTTTGTTGCTAGCGTTTAAATATATGGACTCTGTAAGAAATTGGTTCTCATAAATAATGATCATATATTATTTATTTACAATTTTAAATAATTAAAATATCTAAAAAATCGTATACATGATGTATATTTTAATCATGACTTCATAATAAAAAAACTTTACAAATGACTAAAAGTATCGTCATATAATGGAATTCTAATTCTTCTGTTGTCCAATATTTTAACAAATGATATGCTTCTTAATATTTTCTCATTGTTTTGTTTTATCATTGCAAAAAAAAGATTATATTGTTCGTCTATATTCTAGATAAATAAGACTGAAAATGAAATGTAAGAGTATCAAAACAGTTTTGAATGTTAGAATTAAGTTGTCACTTTTTATAGAAATATTTATAATCTCATTGGTGTATTGTGCTTGAACATATGTGCAATTACTTTAGAGGTACTTTCAGGTAATGTATGATGATTTCAAAAAATAATTTAGCACCTCGAGAGAAGTACATGTAACCAAGATTTTGGAAAGTCAACTTTTATCTGGAGATAAAATTCATTCCCACCTCGTGGGGCGATGCATCAATGGGGTAGACACCAATATATCTAGAGATAGAGGAATATAGTAGTTCATACAGTGATAAAAACTATCAGCAATTTTAGTGACACCGTTAGTTATTTCATAGAGATATTTATCTTTTCTTAGTAGAAGTACCTTGTTATAAAGATCATACGATCATGAAGTTTGACTATATGTTGGGTCAGAATAAGTGTTTGAATAAAATAGGTGTTTTGCCAAATTAATTAAGAGTAATTTTGTAATAGTATTGATGTATTGGACTCCAACGACTATGAATGTTCTTATGAGAACGTTAAAACTAAAATGAAAGAAAATCTTTGTGTTTTTTTATTAGGAATTTGTTTTTTTATATATATTTTTGTTGGGGTTTGTAAAACGTTATTTCACTATTTTTATATGAGGACATCATTATGTTAATTCTAAATAAAAAATCACATATGAGTTCATTTTTTCTATATTTTACTTCATTTATGCAATGATATGTTTAATAAAAAATTAATTTATTTTACAAATTTACTCCACGAAAATCATTCGACACCACGTGCATCGCACGTGCACTTTACTAGTTTTAATAAAAAAAAGTGTACAAATATAAAAAGCTAAAAATATTAAGAGTTAAAGCGAAGCACAATATACATTCAGGTCTGCATTTTGCTCGCTAGAGTCTTTGTAGTGCTTAAAAGTCCATTTGACGGACGTAATTAAAGTCGTCGTTCTTTGTGTTTGTGTCAATCAACTTTTTTTTTTTTT